TGTTAGCCAGGATGGTCTCGATCTCCTGACCTCATGATCCGCCCGTCTCGGCCTCCCAAAGTGCCGGGATTACAGGCTTGAGCCACCGCGCCCGGCCTGTTTTTTTTGTTTTTGAGACAGAGTCTCCCTCTGTCACCCAGGCTGGAGTGCAATGGTGCCATCTCGGCTCACTGCAATCTCCACCTCCCGGGTTCAGGCGATTCTCCTGCCTCAGTCTCCTGAGTAGCAGGGATTATAAGCGCGTGCCACTACGCCTTGCTAATTTTTTTATTTTTAGTAGAGACAAGGTTTCACCGTGTTAGCCAGGATGGTCTTGATCTCCTGACCTCATGATCTGCCCGCCATAGCTTCCCAAAGTGCTGGGATTACAGGTGTGAGCCACCGCACCTGGCCAAAAGTGTTGTTTTTACAGTTAATATGAAGCCAAATATATTATACTTGGACTAATGTACTTAACCTGCTTGGCTTCTCCAATTCTATTTATCATCTTGTTTTTTTTTGTTAAGTTAATCAACACAATGCCTGTGTCTCACTCCCAGTGATTGTGATCTACAAATTTCCTAATTATTCCTAATGTGTAGACAACCAGAACTGCTGCTCTACAGCATGACCTAAATCAATACATTTATAAGTGTCTGTGGACATAAAGGTGGGCAGCTAGCAGGGACCTTGAAGACCACCTAAGGACTCCCTTCCCCCATTTTAAGATGAATTGGGCTGAGTGCAGCGGTTCCCACCTGTAATCCCAACACTTTGGAAGGCCAAGGCAGGAGGATCACTTGAGCTCAAAAGTTTGAGACCAGCCTGGGCAACATAGTGAGACCCAATCACTACAAAAAATAAACAAAATTAGCCGGGTGTGGTGGTATGTGCCTGTAGTCCCAGCTACTTAGGAGGCTCAGGTGGGAGGATCACTTGGAGCCCAGGAGATCGAGGCTGCAGTGAGCCATAATTGTGCCACTGCACTTCAGCCTGGATGACAAAGTGAGATCCCATCTCTTTAAAAAATAATAATAATAAGTAAAGATGAACTGAAGTGCAGAGAAGTAACATGGAAGCTTGAGAAAGAGTTTCTAGGTTTTTGGTTCTATCATTGTATCTTTGGAGGTAATATCGGTAAAATGACCGTTTAGTAGTTTGGGATGTGAGACAAATGTAAGAAGCCATGTTTGCTCATTTCTGCTTTTTTTTTTTTGAGACAGGATCTCGTTCTGTCACCCAGGCTGGAGTGCAGTTGTGACATCACAGCTCACTGCAGTTTCTACTTCCCAGGCCCAAGGGATCCTCCGACCTCAGCCTCTCAAGTAGCTGAGATCACAGGCATCCACCACCCCGCCCAGCTAAATTTTGTTAAGTTTTTATTTTTGTTGAGACGGGGTCTCACTATGTTGCTCAGGCTGGTCTCAAACTCCTGAATGCAAGGAAAGCTCTCGCCTTGGCGTCCCAAAGCACTGGGATTACAGGTGCGAGCCACCATGCCGGGCCTGCTTATTTTGACTTGCCAGCATCATTTCATGAAGCCTCTGACTCTGTGACAACATGCAGCTCTCCAGAAAGATGCTTTGAAAACAAAACAGAATAGAGCACATGGCCTTCCATGTCTCTTGTGAGTCACTATATTCATTAAAAGATAAATTACAGGCCGGGCACGGTGGCTCACACCTGTAATCCCAGCACTTTGGGAGGCCAACGCGGGTGGATCACCTGAGGTCAGGAGTTCGAGATCAGCCTGCCCAACATGGGGAAACCCTGTCTCTACTAAAAATACAAAACATTAGCCAGGCATGGTGGCGGGCGCCTGTAATTCCAGCTACTCGGGAAGCTGAGGCAGGAGAATCACTGGAACCCGGGAGGTGGAGGTTGCAGTGAGCTGAGATTGCACCACTGCTTTCCAGCCTGGTGACAGAACAATACTCCATCTCAAATAATAACAATAATAATAATAACAGGGCCGGGCATGAGCCACTGCACTGAGCCACTTTAATTATTTAAAAGCTTATTTTTTTATTCTGGGGACATGGTCTCACTCTGTCACCTAGGCGGGAGTGCAGTGGCACAATCACTGTTCACTACAGCCTCAACCTCTTGGATTCAAACCATCCTCCCACCTCAGCCTCCTGAGTAGCTGGGACTACAGGTGGGCCACCACGCCCAGCTAATTTTTGTATGTTTTTTTGTGGAGAGACGGGGTTTTTCACCATGTTGCCCAGGCTGGTCTCAAACTCCTGGGCTCTAGGCTTTCCAAAGTGTTGTGATTACGGGAGTGAGCTACTGCGCCTGGCCGATTCTTTTTTTCCTTAGTGGAAAGGGAGTAGTAGCTCCAGCAATAGCGAAAGTCAGTAGTTGTAGGATCTACTAGGCGGGGACACTCATCTGACAGCCCCCCTCCTTTTTTTTTTTTTTTTTT